AATACTCTAAAGAGGTAAGGTTAGAACTTCTTAGTAGTTAATAGATGTAAGTGTAGGTACGCTAGCAAGTGCCTTAGTTACCGTATCCTTAGCTACTTAGTATATAGAGATCTATTCGAACTTAGTATCCTTCTTAAGCAAGGCGTATAAAGGCTTATATACTAGTATAAAGTTTTCAACCTAGATACGGAAGTAGGAGACTACTCTAAGCTAGATTCGGACATCCTTCTAATAGGTAGGGTCTAGCTAGGATACAATCTTTAGGACCCGTATATTATTAGAATAGTAGCCGTTCTTAACGGTTATAAACTCGATAATGTTTATTTGCTTATATAGGAGCTAAAGCTTCTCTCTATATACTATTAAGTTAGCCCGCTCTAAGTCGTAGAGGATACTATCGAGGTTCTAGATATATTTAAGAAAGAACCTTTAGATACTAGGCTCTACTTCCTCGTTATCGTACCTAGTCTTAGGGCCTTTAATACAAATATCGTCGAGGAATAGTATCGCCGTATAGGAAATCTAGGCGGCGAGGACTTAGTTTATAATACGAACGAACTAGGCTACTAAGTTAGTCGCCCCTTAGGGAAGGGTAGTTCGTCTATATAACCTAAGAGGCGTTTCGAAGCTAGTTAGGTCTCTAGTACTCTCTACTATTAGGGTAGAGGGGAATCTAGTCGTAGCCCGAGAACACATTAACTAGTAAGGCTACTATATAGTTAGCGAAGGCTTCGGAGAACCTATTAGTCTCTATAGGAAGGTTAGTATCTCTAATTATAACTATATTAAACTTTTACGCCGTATTAATTAGTCGATAATTCTTTAGTTCCCTAGAAGCCGTTTTCTTCTAGACTAGGAAGTATAGATTGCGATACGAGGTATAGGGAGGCTCTAAGGTGCCTGCATTTATACGCTATCGTATTATATCTTTAAGTATACCTTGTAGGCTTAGGCTTAGTTTAAAACCTAGGTAGGACTAGGGCTTATATTTAATCGTTCGGATCCTCTACGGAGGAGAAACCTCCGAATTAATTCTACCTAGGTAAGTAAAGTCGTATACTAATATAGCTTCGCGGTTATATAGAAGCTCGTATAGCAGGTCCTACTTAAGGTCCGAAAGCTCTATACTAGGTTTAATATATATAAGCCTCTCCTACGTTAGCCTTAACCCCCTAGGAATAGTAGAGAACAGTTAAACTTTTTAGTAATATATCTCTAGTAATATAGACTATCGCTAGGTATTAATACTACTTCTCGGTTAAGGTACCTTTACCGCTAGTTAGGATTTCCGCTAGGGCTAGATCGCTAAGTTAGCGAGAGTTCCCTCCTAGGAGCTATTATTATAATTACGCTAGACGCCTTAGACTATACGAGACTATAGTCGACCTAGGATAATTAGTATATTTAGGTTAGTAGTAACCTAGAAACTAGAGGTAAAGTATATACCGAAGGCATCTACTATAACGTTATAGTAGGTACCTACTAATGCAACTTCCCTATTTACTCCCTATATACCGAGGGTAATATCTCTGTTTGTTAGTAGCTTAAGCTATTAAGTAGTAAGATTACTAATAATAAGAATTTCTAAACTATTATTAAGTATTACTAGCTTTTTCTAACTATAGTTCCCGATAGTAATATTAATATAGATACTAGAAACGACGGCGAAGAGATAGGTAACTACTAAAAGGTCTATATTATTAGGAATAGAGTATAGTTCTTCGGGTTAGGGAGGTACTACTCGACTAATTTGTTAGCTAGTAAATCGGATAGCGTTAACTAAAACAGGCTCTAAGGTATCGTTACCTCGGCCTATCTCCTTAACCTCCTTTTCGTTAGTATTATCGATATTATCCTAGCTCTGAATAATTACCGATTCGTCTTCTACTAACTCTATAGTACCTAAAAATTTAGGGAGTAACTATAGGGAGGAGATATTAATATAGTCTTCTCGTCCCTATTTCCTTCGGAGGGTAGCGAGGTCTTTTATAAAGGTAGTATCGTTAAGGATTCGACTCTAGAATAGGTTAGTAGGTAAGCCGTACGCTAGTAGGTCTCCTCTAGATATATTTAACTTAAGGTCTAGGAACTATAAAACCTAGAAGAGAGCATTTGTCTTTATATCGTACGAATTAGTAAGGCTAGCACTATACTTCTTTAAGTACCTATCGAAGCGAAAGCTCTTTAGGTCGGCTAACTTCCGCTTATAGGCCGGTAGGTTAGCTAGGCCTAGAGTACTACTAATGTCGGTAGTATTATCCTCTATATCGACGTTTAGAGTTTCTAGTATTACTAGAATAGCTAAGCTCCCTAGAGATATATTGCTACTAGCTTAGGTAGTATAGTCTTCGGCTATCTAGAGGGTCTTAGCCTTTGCGGTTAACTCTCGTTATTGTTTAGCCTTATCGATAGCCTTGTTCTTAAGTATCCTAGTAGGGGCTACTATACTAGAGCGAGAAGGGTTTTACGGGTTCTTACCCTTGCCTAGTATTTAGGCCTAAGACTAGGTTTAGGATCTTATAGCATTATAGGTACCTATACTATTATTAGTAACCGCGTAAACGTTAGCGACTTAGTCCTAGTCCTAAGAAACAAAGTTAACCTTTACGGCTTTAGTAGTAGTACTATCTTTACTTCGGTCCCTAACTTACTTTACCCTAACTCTCTAAGTCTCTCGCTTAGCAATAGCGGTAAGGGTACTATTTCTAGCCTCCTCGAACTCGATCTTATCGCTATACTTCTTTTCTAGAAGGGTCTTAAGTTAAGGGAGCTTTAGCGCTCGGCGATCCTATTCGAAGTCGACTTTATCGCCGGTATTAGTATAGTAGAACCGGCTATTTACTTATATAATAAGCTTCCTTTCGAGAAGCTCTTTCTAATTAGGGCATTCTAACTAGATATATTTAAATCCGCTGTATATCTAGTACTTGCTATCTAAGTTAGAATAGATCTTCTATATAGCGAAGATATTAACTAAAGGGGCTTTAGGGTAGTTAGGGTCGGGGAACTAGTAGATCGGTCCTACTTCCTTTAGTATCTTAGCGTTAAGGACCTTCCTAAACCGTTATATTGCTTTCGTATTAAGGTTAAGCTAGGCTAGGGATTCTACTAAGTTTGCTACCTCCTACGAATATTAGGTAGTAGTAGGAGTCGTTCTGCTTACGGCTACTAGACTACTATTTAATATAGGAAGGAACTTAGGTCCTTTAGCGATTCCTACGGAATCGCTTTTAAAGGCCTCTAGCTCCGAGGGTTTATAAATAAGATTGTAATAATCCTTTAGAACGTTAATATTGCCTAGGGAGCGATTCCTCTATATATTAACAACGCATCTACAGTAAAGCTTACTAAAAACGCGGAGGCTTATACTCGTACTAAATACATTAACATCTATTATTACTTCGTTCGCGGAATAGTATTATAGGGGGAGATTAAGATTTTATATCTACGAAGTTTAGATCTATCGGGAGAGCGATGTCTATACGATCTAAGAGTAGCGACAATACGCCTAGCCTAGCAAGCAACTACGTTCGAGACTTACGCTATTACTAGACCGAGTGAAAATTGCAAACCCTACTTAATAGCAACCGCGTTCGAGACTTACGCTAGTGCCGAAGCGAGAGCTGCGTCTAGCCTAATAGTAGTCGCTTTCGAGACTTATACTATTGTTAGACCGGATTAACGTCTACCGTTTACGAAAGCGGAAAACAAGTAGACTCGATAATCCGGGCTTATAACCTATAAAAGCTATGTATAAAAAGGGAACTAAGTCTAATAATTAGTCTATCTACGCTATCTATAGGCCTCTAGTATCTCCTATACTGTTTGCCTATTTGCTTACTGTCTTAATAAGAAGGTATAAGAAGAGTCTTAGACAACACTCCCTCTAGCTCGAGTATACCTTCTTAATCTCCCCCTTGCTTAGAGCTAGGAGACATCCGTATACTAAGGCCCTAAAAGTGCTTAGCGAAAGTAACCTTGTAAAGCGGCTTAGTAAGTAGATTAGCTAGGTTCTCTTTGCCCGAGATCTATTCTAGGTTAATCTCCCCCTATAATACTATTCCGCGAACGAAGTAATAACGGATATCAATGTGTTTAGTACGGGTATAAGCCTCCGCGTTTTTAGTAAGCTTTTCCGCAGATACGTTGTTAGTATGTAGAGGAATCGCTCCCTAGGGCAAATTAACGTTCTAAAGGATTATTGCAATCTTGTTTGTAAACCCTCGGAGCTAGAGGCCTTCTCGTGCTACGGCTGCGGTAGCGACGTACTTAGCTTCTATAGATAGTAGAGCAACGACTTGCTGTCGATAAGAACTAAATAAAACAGGTCCGCCTACGAGTTAGTAGACATATCCGGTTCTAGATTTTCGAGTGTTCTAGTATCCTACCTAGTCGCTATTAACAAAACCTTTAAGCTTAGGCGTAGCGCTACGTCGAAAGAAGATCCCTATATCGGGAGAACCTATAAGGTATACGAAGATATAGTAAACGGCATCTATATGCGTTTAGTTAGGATTCTTTATAAATACTACTACAATCGAGATAGAAGCACTAATATCTGCTCGAGTTTTGCTTACGAGGTAATTAAGGCTACTAACCTTAGAGGCGTATTCTACCTAAAATGCAGTAGAGGCTATCTCGGTGCTTTTAAGAAGTAGTATACCCGGGTTAAGAGGTATAGCTTTCGGAGTAAGATTACTAAGGCCGTACTTTCTTAGAAGCTGTCGGATATAGTTGCCTTAGTGAATATAAATACCCTTTCTACTATATTCGATCTAAATACCGAGGTAGTAGGCTACCTCTCCTTTATCTGTTAATCGAAATAAAGATAAGAGCTGTTTCTTAAACGCGACAATGTTGTCGTTATTGCTCCTAAATATATTAATATTATTAATATATACTGTTATAATAAGGTCTTTAGCCTTATAGAAGAATACGTACTTATCGTATTACGATACTTGCTATCTGTATCGAAGGAGCTACTGCTAGAGCTCCTAGTACTAGATGCGAGGAGATTGTTTAAGCCTATATAGGCCTTTTCGGAGTCGTATAATAACTTTCTTCCCCTTATTAGGTCCTCGAGTATAAGGAAGACCTAGCGGGAGAACAATATAGACTTCTTCCTTAAGATTGCCGTTAAGGAATGTAGTAACAAAGTCTATTTAGTAGCATAACTAGCCTAATAATGCTATTAGTATAAAGAGTATACGGTATACTATAGTAGTTACTACTCCGGAGTAGGTCTTAGTAAAGTCAAAACCTTTAATCTGCTAGAAACCTCTACTAACGAGTCTTGCTTTATACTTCGAGATTCGGCTATCTTTGCTAATCTTCCTTCTGTATCTAAGTCGTACTAATAGTAGTTTGCGCCTAGGAGGTATATCCTTTTCCTCTACTACGTCCTATATATTATTGTCGAGCAAACTACTATACTTAGAGTTAATTGCACCGTGCTATTGCTCGGACTCGTTAGAAGCACAAACCTCTACGTAGTTTTACGAGACGGGTATAGTAGCTAAGGACTCTAGTGTTCGAAAAGCAGACATAATTGTCGTATATCTCAATTCCTAAGATGTTATCCTAGCAGCTTCGAAGGCTTCCGTAGCAAGTCCTATAAACCCCTAATTACCGTACTTAAAAGCATTAAGCTTAGACATGTACTTAGGTTTAGGTATGTCTTTATTATCCGTATCGGAGTCGGAGATACTTATCTATACCGATTTTCGCCGTTTCCTTATATAAGGGCTTTCTAGATCCTTCTAAGGAATTGAGTTGTCCGGGACTAATTCGTTACGCACAACTATAAGATCGGAGTTATTATTTACCTCGATCTTATAGTAGCCGGGAAGGAATGTTTCCTTAGTATTGTTACTAATTATTCGCGGACATCTTTTCTAGTACTAAATATACCTAATATAGGGTGCTTCCTTTTACTTAGAGTATCGTGTCCTTAAGTTAATATATTAGAGGCAATTGTTACCTACTTTATATTTTAGAAAACCTGCCTTATTTTGTCTAACTTAGTAGTAGGTATATCGTATCCTATCCTTACTTAGGAAGATATAAGACTGCCTTCCTTCTTCCTTATACTACGTATAGGCCGAGGTACTATCCGAGTAATACTTTCTTCGATATACTTAATAACGAGTATATCGTACTAGGTAGTAGCGAAGCTCTCCTTCTTCTTAGGATAGGCAGTATAGCCCCTTATTTTTGCAGTAATTGCATTTTTCGATAGGGTTATCTATTTCGACCCTAGAAACGGTTTTTTCTAGGCTAGGATATAGCCTAGGGCTAGTACTGTAAAAACAGTCGTTCTTATTGTAGTAGTAGCATTTGCCCGCAGTATCTTCTAGTCTTTAGTTAAACCTAGGCTTTATAGCAATATATTCGTCGGTAGAGAAACTAGTATAACGGCATCGCAAGCACGGCCGGCCCTTACTCTAGTCGTAGCGCGTCTTACTATTACGACAACGAATACACGCACCTTATACCGGATCTATATCCTAGGGTAGAGGATAAGCGTGCCCTGCTTTATTCCTACTATATACGACATCCCTATCTAGGAGAAGAATAGCCTAGATAGGTTCCTAGCTCTTATTAGAGACATTGCTCCTAACTAACGCTGTCTGTCGCCCTTTATAGCGTCGATGCGTAGTTTAAACGTTAATGTGTCGTTTTAGTCTAGGCGAACTGCGGAGAGTAGATAGGACTATAAATCTTTCGTCGAGAGACGAGGATTCCTTACTACTTAAGATGTTAATAACTGTTTTAGTAGGGGTAGTAGCTAGAATAGTGCTTTTCGTTAAGTCTTAATCTAGGAACTACTCGTCCTTATTAGACAAGTTAAACTCGTCTTTATCTTACGGCGTAGTAGTAGCATCCTTATTCCTTTTTAATAGAGATTAGAAGTATAGAGAAGTTTCCGTTATGCCTTTATCGTCGCTAGTATAGAGCCGTTTTTGTCGAGGATTCGGGACAAATATAGACACTCGGGAGTTATTATTGCTTTCTTGCTAGCTAGTAGACTTGCTTAGAGCACGCCGTACCCTCTTAGCGGGAGACTTGATATAGTTATCTATATAGGTTTCGATATATTTGTCCTTACGAGTTAGGGGAGGCAGGGCATCCTCCTCGTTGTTTAATCTTTACTAGGTCCTTCTTGTCTTCGCCGTAAATAAACTTCCTTATATTAGCGGAGCTATTAATATCGGCCTTAAAATACTTAAGGACCTCTTTATAGTTCCTAAGGCTCTCGGTATTAGCATCGCTAAGCTTATAGCGAAGGAAGATACGCTAAGGTACTAGCTATAGTAACCCCTAAAGGAGTAGCCTCGTTTATTAGGAAATCTCGAGGTCTTTTAGGTTAATACTATCCGCTGATTTAAGGAATTCTAGGATATATTCCTTTAGGTCGTTATCTTTAGTACGCCTCTTTATATAGAGGCTTTCGAGCTAGATACGACTGCTTTTAATATAGCGGCTATCGTTCTCCCGATACTCTCTTAGGAAGGCCTACTTTAAGGTCTCCTAATCGGTATCCGTCTTATTATCCTTTTCTAGGCAGCCGATTAGGGTTCTAAGAGTACGGTAAAGCTCGGTAATAGCGGTCCTTATAAAAGTACGGATCTTATACTAGTCGGACTCCCCGTTAAGCTCGTACTCGATTAAGGTATCTTCGAAGCGTTCTATATATACGGTAGCGTTCTATCCTTGAAACTAGGGGTTTGTACCGCTACCTAGCTCTAGTAGGCGACGCCTGTTCTAACGGAGAAGCTTAGTTTGCCTCTTAATTATCTATATAACGATATTATAGAGTACTTCTAGCGTAGAAGGCCTAGGGGCCTAGCCTAAGTTAGCTACGCTTATATTAACTAGTCGTCGCCTAATTTCCTTATTAATAGGATTAAGGAGGATTTTAGTATCTAAGGATACTACTAATTTGTAATACTCGTCTTCGCTCGAGCTTATTTAGATATTATTATAAAATAGTTAAAGTAAAATACGATAAGAAATTGTTTTTAGTATAGTTTAGTAGGTTTGTTTTAATAAATAGGAAGGAGATGTTAGATATAGAGGTTTCAGTCCTTGTCTTAGATACCTTAGGTCGCAAATAGCTAAGAGGATACTTCTACCTCTCGACCGCCTACCTCTCTAGATAGATTATCGCAATATTATCGTTCTATACGTACCTCTATCTATTCACTTACAGTGTTTAATAGGTTATAAGCCCGGATACGCGTAGTCCTTAGTAAGCCTGCGCTCCGTAACTAGCCTATACGACGTATACCGATCCTACGACCTTCCGGCAGATATCTAAACCTCCGGATCTTCGAAGACCTTTATCTTATCGAAGAAGGTAGTTAATAGCGGAAGCAACTATAGTTAAACCGATTAAAGAAAGAGCAGTAGATTGCAATAGATTACAATAAAAAGTTTAGATACCGTTACAAATATATAGCAAACTAGCTTAAGGACTAGTAATAACAACATTGTCTTAGATACTATTATACTATGAAAATTAAGACAAACATTACTAAGACTCGGGGCAATTGAAGCTCTATAAAGAGTTAAGTATCAGGCAACATTAACGAAGAATAAGTATACGTCTTTTATTACCCGCCTACTTCTAATCTCTACCTTTGTATTAATCTTTCTCTCGATACCTACCTTACCTACCCTATTCGTTCTATATATCTTATACCCGGTCTACTAGAAATAGCTAGTATTAGAAACTATTATCAACTAGAAAGAGCTAGTCTTAGCATATTCGAGCGACTTTATTATATCGGAAGATAGCAATAGTAGTAACAAGATTGCTAAGCTTAATAGTACTAATAATATTAAGATATCGACTATTTAAGCTAAGACTACCCTCGAGTTAAAGGGTCTCTTCGATTACTATAGTAGAGGCATTAAGAAGCTATCTTCTACGGATGCTAATATAATAGTAGTCTAGAAGAAGAACGATATATTAGCTAGGTCTTTCCTCGTTACTAACGTTACAGCTAACGTTATCCGAATAGTTAAGCATTATAAGACTATATAAGATATATAGGAGTTTATTCGAGTCTAGTACGAACAAAAGGGCTTAGTATAAGAAGAGAACATCTTTTACAAGTAGGAGAGACACTAGTTTAATAGCAACAACGTTAAGAAATAGTATATACAATTCCGTACTAATATCAACGATCTTTAGTTAGTCGGACTAGACCTTAGTAACAAGGTATACCTCTATACCTTTACCTCCCGCCGCATTGTTCTATACTACGAGGTCTTTGCTTTAAACATCCGATAGCAAATTCGAGATCTTCCGACTAAAAGTAATAGATCTATAGATATCGATAAGATGCTAAAGATTAAGAACGTAATTAACTACTTAGTTAATAAATAGCGATCTTAGAAGCAAAACTAGGCCCTATTTACGGTAGCTAGAGCTAATAACAACAACATAGCCGATAGCGGCAGTATAGCTCGCAATAGCAATAGTAATAAAGGCAATAGCAAATATAGCAAGTACGGCAAATTCAGTTATAAGGAAGAAAAATGCTTTATAAATAACCCTTAGAAGAAGAAGGAATTCTACGAGAAGAAGATAAAAGAGGCTATAGAAGCCTATAAGGCAGATAGCAAGGCCGATAATAAGAAGAAAGGTTCTCCTTAGCAGGAAGAAGAAACCGTTCTCTACAGAGGCTCTAATAATAGCTATATATTGAATAATATTACAGCTACTACACTCTTTACTGCACTATCTATACTTAATCAATTACTTCTAGCCGACCAAGTCTTAAGCGAGAGCATTTAACAATAACTAGCCCTAACTTTATCGTATATCGGACCCGATCTAGTACTTAATTCGGGTACGATAAAGCAACTTTAACGATATTAGTTACTTCGTCGACTTCTTACTAACTCGTATACCTATTAGTATAGGCAGAGGCTACATTATTAGATACGCAATTAGCTCGGCACGTCTGCGTCTTCTTAACCTAGATAGATTAGTACACCTCGTTAAGCTTACTCGATGCGTATTCGTTCTAGACTTCGTAGTTAATCTCCTATCTTCTAAACAACTTAAGGACGTAGGAATATTCTACCGCAATAAAGAGAATATCTTTTATATACGTAGAAAGGACCGCTATAAGAAGATTATAGTATTAGT